CAGTTTATGTAACCCGCTTGTAACGAAATTTTCCAAAGAACTAAAAAACTGAACTGTTTCTCAGCCCGGACGATACTTTGAGGGAAGGGACCGTCGGTCGCGAGCCGGACGCGCAACGTCGATAAATTCATAACGAGGCCACAGCTCGCATACCGCGACAGGACGGTTGCAGGTTTGAATCGTGTTTTCCGATAATCTCCTGCTCACCCACGCTACCATCGGCACGCCAAGTACGCTAAACGCGTTTATTCCAAACGATACACGTCGCGCCAGTGCCGTGCCGCCCGCAGCCCGGTCGGCGTGCAAGGCCCGCTTCTTTCTCTCGCCTCCTCTCCGCTCGCCACAATGCCGTTTTCAGTGGCAGGCCTCAATTTGCCGTAATTATTATGTTTATCTTCCTCATTCACTTAAGTCCGCGCACCGGCTTCGACGATCCGGTCGTCCGTGTTCGGTGCGACAGCACCGAAATATCCGTTCGCTCACGTGCACGATTCGCAAGCAGTGCTCGAGTCGACTAGCAGTACTCGTACTCATTTTCCATTTATTCAATGCGGTCGAGATTCCTTCTGCGTTGACCGTAACCACGCTCATGGGAGATCTATCGTTCGTTATCTCACGCCGGAATAATCCTCATATCTTAGCCACAGAGGCGAGAGGCAACGAACGACGGGCAACGACGAGGGCGGGAAAAAGCGAAGGAGAGAATCACGCCCGTCCCGTCAAATCCAATTTAATCAACGACGCGCGCGCGAACGCGACCGATCGAGATGGCCGTGCGCGATTACGCCCCGCGGTAATAATAATCGGAGGGGGGAATTCGAGATGCAATCTCTAGGAAACGAAGCGTTCGCACATACGTAATCCGCGTTATTCGCGTCGGGGACGCGCGAGAATGTGCCGTGCGTGGCTGCATGGCCACGCGCCAATCATTACATCCTGGAAAGGGTGGGTCTAACCGATCCACTGTGTCAAATCCAATTTGCGTGATCCTTTCCCTCGGAAACGACACGAAATCCTCGTCACGCCCGGCAATTTGCGGCTCGACTCG